ATATATATTACCAGTATATAAGTACCTATATGATTTGAAATACCTACATACCTGCAAAATTAGTGAAAAACTTAAATTGAGGATACCCAGCTCCAAGGTCAAATTACAGAAAACTCTCCAAGAACAGAGTAATGAGACTAGCATATTTGGTTTCTCTCGACATTGTTACCTTTGAAATAACCCTCAAACCTTTTTCTCACAAACACAAAAATAAAAATTTCTTAGCTCTGGGACTGCATCTATACAGCTGATTCAAATCATTTTGGTTACAGTAATTTTACGAACCGATGTGTAAAAGCAAGGAAGTATATGTTATAATATGTCAACCAAACTATTTCGGCCATATCTAGTGCCAATGAAGCTTTAAAGTAAACAATATTACTGTGGGAACTTTAAAGTTACCTTTTAAATTTCTATACACCTCTGGTCACTTGGAACGAGAATAGTGAAAACACGCACATAAATGCTCACCTATTCAACATGAACTGAATATAAGAAGACACAATTGTAATGACCACACATTTTCTCATGGCCAGTAATTTTAGTATTGCTGTTTGGGTGTTTTCTTTCCCTGCTTAATAATCAAAGTCAGTATAAAACAAGAGTTGGTGTTATATAGGATACTTACTTTATCACCAGAGATATCCTTGTAGAAAATTACATTAAAGCTTAAAAAATGTATTACATACTGGTACACAGATTTTAAAAATATTATCACATCTGCAGAAAAATTATAATTTTCTTGATTAATCAGACTCAACAGAAGTTAAGATCCTATTAATTGAATATCTTTTATGTTACTGTGCTTAGGTGTGCAATGAATGTGAAGTCACAACAGCTTCACTTTTGTGATCTTTTGAGCTATTTCTTTTCCTCGGGTGATGAGAGATTAGGTTCTAATATTGAACAAAAATCCGTAAGTCAAATCAGTATTTCAGAATCACATATAACTTGATGAAACTTGGTTGAATGAATGGCAACTGCCTTGTAGAAACACAAGCGTAAAGGACGACGCTTCGAAAGTGTTCCGCCTATCATCGTCCTCTACACTTGCGTTTCTACAACAGGCAGTTGGTGTCCAATCAACCATGTTTCACCATGAATACTCTGCCTAAACAATCTATCAAAGAACACATATAATTTCTTACTACTCACATGTCCACTAACTTAGAGCAACAGCTGAGGAATTTTAAAATAATTATTTTATGCTACTATTACAAGATTTTAACAGAATCTTTAGACTCAACCCTATGATATCAGCTTGATCAATGCGCATGACATACCCTTTTACAGAGTTACATTAATTAGATTCAAATTTAATTGAATGACTATTATTAATGGATGTTAACAAACTTGACATTAAAACATACTTTATAACTCAAAGGTTTATGACTACCTAAGTATTAATTTTTAATTTCAAAAAGAAATATTTAAATGAATTCTCAATCTTCACTTCTCTGTATCATATGACACACCTCCTCTTTAAATTCTTTTTAGATTTTCCCTTTATCAGTTTCAGAGTGTCCAACCAATTAGAAACACAAACTATGGATATTAACAGGTCAGAATATAAAATTAGTAGACTAAAGTTATTGCTCAGAGCTGTAATGGTATCTTTTAAAACTTATTTACAGCTTTGTTAGAAAGGCAGATAAATTATTGTAGTTTTGGAACATTCTATTCTAATACCTCATATATTTTTTGTTCTAAAATGCATATTTGAAAGCTACATGAATTCTTATGTTGTGAAAAAAATGTGAGGCCTAGCACAGTTATGGTTTGCACTCTCAAAGTTCATGCAGGTCAAGCACTTTGCTCATGGTATTCAAGATATGTGTTAATAATCCACTGCCATGATTTCTTTCTGTTTGATGAGAGGATTAGTGCTCAAGTGGGTAGCAACTACAGCAATAAAACCATATTTCTAAAGGTTAACAGTTGAAACTGTGAAGTTAAAAAAAACATTAATCCAGTGAAATATTTCATCGAAAGAAGAAAAAAATATTGCTCATTTTGTTTTATATTTTTCAACTTTACATTTCACTGTACATCAGTGACTTTGCTACAGTTAGTATTAAGGTAAAGAAAATAACACATACAATATAAAGTTTTACAAAAAAAGCTTCAGATGTTTATTAAGGATGTTCTAGAAGTTATTCAAATGGAATGTGAAAAATATTAGATGAAAAAAAGTATTTTTATTCTTAAAATGAAAATCACTTTATGCTCAGATTGACTAGGTAAAGGCTTTGGAAATTCATATAAATTTGTAATAGAAATATTTTAAAATCTCTGATCTTTTATGTGCTGTAGATTTATAATATTTACAAAAAGCTAATCAAATTTTTAGTAAATTCAGAATTGTAGTAAACATTACTTTGTAGGTTTTCACAGATACAGGGTTGATCTAATGGGCCAATGTCTTTGACAAAGGGTTGAGAGGGTAAATACACTAAATTTTGTAGCACAAAACACAATAAAACTGTTGACAGTGTGGAAAAAAACTAATCCTTTTTTTTTGTAAAAACAATTACTGATCAAGGTTTTGTTATACACTGAAGCTCTATAAAACTGGAAGTTCTTGAAAAAAAACAGTATTAAGTCATTATAACTTGTAATACTGACATTTATAATTTCCTAAATGATAAACATATTGTTACGACAGCAGAAGTCACGTGACGCTGCTGGCGCTAGTAGTGTGT